TCAGAGGGGTGGGCCTTCTCCAGATCCTTTTCAAAGACGGAAAAACTGAGGGAAAGCCTGAGGTACCTGCCAGTGATGCAGTCAAGATTTGAACCCAGGACCATATGAATTCAAATGGCACTCCCCGGCGCATCTAGCAGCCACCTGGCCCTACCCTGTGTGCCTTAGTCCTCTCACCTCTGACATGGGGAGCTCTGTTTGCGCCCACCTGGATGAGATCAGAGTGTATGGGTTGGGGGGTGAGTAATTCTGCTTGGCCTTTTTCCTCTTTCTCCTGCGAGAGCCACATACAGGCTCAAGTTGTGATGAGAAGAAACAATTGAGGGAAGAGGTCAGGGGCGGGCAGAGGGGAGGACCAGGGGTGGCAGGTGTGCATTTATGCAGTACCTGCTGTGTACTGGTCTGCACTCACACATCCCTCCCAGCTACAGGAGAGGAAGCACACTCAGAGAGGTCAAGGGATCTGCCCAACGTCACATAGCTGGGAGGGTGAAGGCTGATGGTCTTCCTCTGGGAGCCTGTCCCGGTGGACAGCAGGCCCCTCAGGAGATCACCCCGCCACCCCACATTTACCTAGAAGCCCTGGCGACAGGAGACAATCAGCTGGTTTGTCCACCTCTGTCCCACAAAGAGCTGGCTTCCTCCCAGAGACTGGAGGCCCCACCCTGCCAGCGACGTTCAATGAGGCTCTTCTGGAATTCTCCCTGTGGCAGAAACCTGAGGCCAGGTGGGGAGGAAGCCCTTCCCCTCAGATGACCGTTGCCATGGGCACAGCCATTCTCAGCCCTCAGCCACTGGCCGTGATTCCTGTCTGCCCAGCAGCAGGCCTGCTGGCCAGTGGGTGCAGCCGAGCCACAGCTGGCCACGGGCACTGCAAAGTTAGCCTTCATCTGGAGCTGTGGTCTAGAGCGGCCAGTGGGGATGGAGGGGGATCCCTTGGTGCCAGTAGGGGCCAAGTAATTCCCGGCTTCCTGGGTGGGCTACTGGGGGTCTGTGAAGGCTCCTGGAGTGATGACTGAAATTGTGAGGGGGGTGTGAATGAACACTTCCCTAAGAGGCCCATGACTTTCGCAGAGACCTGGGACCCCGCCCCCCAGCACGTAGGTGGTGAAGGCTCAATTTTCCCAGCCAGGAAGAGGCAGAGGTTGGGGCGAGGAAGGGGATGGCGGGGACCCATGGAGATGCTAGCTAACAGTTTTTTAAACTGTGAATTGGCTCTGTCAGCCGCCACTTAACAGAAGCTATGACTTTCTTTGCTCTAAAACAAAAGCCAAACTCACCCTGGCCTCAGCATCGCTAGGTTTCATCCCTCACTGTCCTCGCCACTTGATTAGCACACTTTGGCCACTGTGGCCTCTCTCTCTGTCCTTAGAACATGCTGCTTTCTCTCCTGCCCAGGGCCTTTGCACCAGCTACAGCTACAGCTCCCTTTCAGATCTCAGCTCAAATGTCACCTCCTCAGACGGGTTCTCGCTGCCCCACCTCCCATCTAGATCTCTTCCAGTGGACTGTGAGCCCCTTGGAAGGTGCAGCATTATCTGTCTTGTCCCTGCAGGGTCCCCTAAGCAGAGCCCAGGACCTCGCACCTAATAAGTGCTCAGCAAAGTGGAGCTGAATGACTCACCTACCAGACAATCCTCCCCGGGCTTGACTGAGAGCTGATTAAGCATTGATCATCATCATACTGCCCTGTAGGTGCCAGGCCCTGAGCTAAGGCTTTGCACGGGTCGTTCCGTTAGGTGTCACAGGAGAAAATGATGTGGCCACTTCTGGGTGGAGTGTTGATTTCACTGGAATTATGAATACAAACCAGGGACTGGTTGCAACGACAGGTGTCCACTGTCGATGGACAGAGCTGAGAGGGACCTCTGAAATGTCCAATCTCCTGACTTTACAGATGTGGAAACTGAGGCCCAGCAGGGAGAAGACACGTGCCCAGAGTCACAGAGCAAGGAAGAACAGCCAAAATGCACGACATTTTCTGGGGTGTTACTGTCGACATGCACCATACCATATCTTTGTAAGTGAACACGCTACGGTTTAACTGCATTAGGGGCTTGGTTGCCCCTCAGGACCCCCTTAGCAGGTCATGGCATCATAATAAAGAAAAATATTAATAAAAGCCACTTACTGACCATCTTCTGGGTGAGGTATTTTACACATACTCTCTCATGTAATCCGGCAAGGCGGAGGTGTTCCTGTCCCATTTTACAGATGCAGAAACTGAGGCTCAGAGGGGTGAACTGCCTTCCCTGGATCACACAGCCACAACGTTACAGAACCTGGACTTGAACCCGAAAATTGTGAGGTGATCATGGTGATGCTGCTGGTGGTGGTGGTGGTGGTGGTGGTGGCAGTAAAAGTAACAGGACATACCTTCGACCCAGCAGCTGACACCACCACCACACACACACTCACTTTCGGGAGGTGCGGACGGGCGGGGACTCCTAGCTCAGCCCCGTCCCCGCGGCGCCGACAGCGCCGCCTACTGAGACGCGCGGGACCTGGAGGAGGTCATTGCGCAGGCGCAGGAGCGGCGGGGCACGCGGCTCAGCCGCAGCGCCGCAGCGCCAACAGCGCCACCTACCGGGAAGCGCGGGACCTGGAGGAGTCAGTGCGCAGGCGCACGCAGCCCGAGGCTGGGACCGTGTGAACCCAAGGAGAAATGGACCCCTCCTCCACCAGTCTCCAAAAGCCTCTATAAATGATGATAACTGGGTCAACAGTGAACGATTACACAGCTAAGTGCCCACCTCGGTAGTTTCACTGACTCTCAGAGAGCAAGGAACCATTAGTATCACCAGTGTACGGAGGAGGAAACAGGCTCAGAGAGGTGAAGTGATTTGTCCAAGGCCACTCAGCTGATAAACAGCAGAGCCAGGACTCCAGCACTTGATCACATTTTCATACATTCTGCATCACATACAAAAAATCCATGCAGTTTCATTTAACACTTACTAAGACAGCTTATATGCTTCAGACATCTCTGGTTGCTTTACAAATAGTAGCACTTAATTTAAGCCTCAGAAACTGTGAGACGGGCCTTAGCAAAACCTGGTGGTGAAGAAAAGGAAACAGGATTTTTTTTTTAATTGAAGTATAGTCAGTTTACAGTGTGTCAGTTTCTGTCATATGGCATAATGTTCAGTCATACATGTACATATATATTCATTTTCATATTCTTTTTCATTACAGGTGACTACAAGATATTGAATATAGTTCCTTGTGCTACACAGAAGAAACTTGTTTATCTATTATATACAGCAGTTAATATTTGCAAATCTCAAACTCCCAATTTATCCCTTCCCACCCTCTTTCCCCCTAGTAACCATAAGTTTGTTTTCTATGTCTGTGAGTCTGGGAAATCAGACTTTTTGATGGAGAAGTGAACTTCAGTTCCTTGTCTGTAAGAGATGAATTATAAAGGATTTGAACTGTTGGTCAGGGAGATTTAATTGCATGCAGCAAGTAAGTAGAGTCAGCCCTTGTCAAACTTTCAGGCTCACTCGGGTTTCTGTGCACCATCAGGTTAACCTGGGTCACATTCGGTGGCTTCCCACAGTGGGAAAGTCCAGGCAGGAAGATGTGCTGGCATGTGGACTCAATCCCCAGGCACAGAAGTGGACACAGCTGTGGGGAGATAGAGTCAGATGCAAAACCCCGGTGCCCCCTACTCTGGCAGGATCACTCTGGCTGTCTTCTTGCCCCACCTTGGGGGGTTCAATTTCTTCAACTGATAAATGGGGGCTCCTGATGCCCACATCTCAGGATGCTTGTGAAATGAGGTGTGTGAAGTACTTGTGCAGGGCCTGGTATACAGCTGTTGCTCAATGTGTGTTCCTTCCTCCCCACCCCAGGCAGAACTCAGTCCTATTTTGACAAGGATGAAATGGGAAGACATAAATGCACTGCTGGCTGTGTCTTTGAGATCAGAAACCCAAAGTACTCCTGTGCCCACGCAGGTACCAGGAGTGATGGAGGCTCTCCTGGAAATATTCCAGCCTTCCACAAAGAAGCTGCCTTCCTGCCCTCACTGTATTGTGTTAGAAACATGAAGAAAATCTCTTTTAAAGGAATATACAGAATTTAAAATTTTGTTGGCAGAATTTTATATTCAAAGGGAAAACATCCTAAAACACAGAGCTTAGTTCAGAAAGATTAGAAAGATCATTCTTACTATCAGCTATGTTAGAAAATATAATGAAATCAGAGCAAAAAACTTAGTTCAGGCGTCCAGTCCTTGGCCACGCCAGAAGCAGCCTTCCAAACTGGGTATCTGATTGATTATGCTACCTTGAAGGTGTTTCTTAATTTTCAGAGTCAAGTTCAAATCCCTTGGTGCCATGATGTCTCACATACACACAGCCTGCTCTGGGTCAAGTCACCAGGACTTTGCCTGTGCCTTGGAGTGTCCCTTGCCCCTCCTTCTCTACAGGATCTTCCCAACCCCAACCCTTCCATTGAGGTTCAGTGCACATCCCAGCATGCGGCCCCTCATCTGTGGCCCCAGGCTCCCTCAGGGCACTGACCACTCTATCACATCACTGGTGATTCACTGGTCCATCCTGTCACTAGACAATCAGCTCTGTAGGAGGAGGAATGAAGTAAAATAGTTCCCTCTACATTTAATCCTAGTATCAGAAAAAGCATCAGCCCACGATAAAGCACAAATAAACAATGGTCTTGGGGATGTGGAGGCAACAGGGGTTGGTGGGGACTGAGGCAAAGTGGAAAATATAGCCACCCTCTTGCACCGTCCAGCCCAGGGGGGCAGTCATCTCTCCGCTCCTGTCAAGTAGTCTGATTTTTCGAAAGAAGCTAGAAAGCAAGACTTGTATGTGACATGTCCCCAGTTTCTCCATGAGGCGACCAGTTCTATTTCTGAAACCAGAAAATAGGACCCAGAGGCCAGAAAACAGGTCCTTGGCTGGTCCGCAGCTGTAACTTCTGATCCAGAAACCAGCACCACAAAAGAATCCAGAACCAAGACAGCACACTGATGTGATTCCAAAATAGAGATTTATTTATTGAGGATTATTTAGTTTCTGCATAAAAATCACCAATTGTTCCTCATTGGGTTTTTCACACACATTGATTCTTTGGGGAGAGGTTTGCATTGATCGCCCCAACACTTTAAAAATACAGCTCTTTTTAGCGCCAGGAAGGACAGTTAAGGCAACAAGGCATGGTCTTGGGTTCATCCACTCCCCCTCGCACGTGGTAGGTAGTTTCTTAGGTTGGAAAAGCTGTCCCTGAAGAAAACAGTTATGCAGTCGTCTGTGATCAATTATTTGTGCCTGACAGCTTTAAAATAACCTCCCCTCCTTTGTCATCAAAGGCTTGCTGGTTGGTTTCAGCTATAAAAACACTGTCTGGCAAAAGACAGGAAGAAAGAGCAGGCTCTCTAATGACAGTGCTGTGAGGTCTGGCTGTGCAAACCACATGAGAACACACACCAGTTTGCTTTAAAAAAAAAATCCTGCAATAGGGTCCCTGCATAATTTCAAATCAAACGCCTCATGGTCCTTAAAATACCCCATACATCGTTCAGTCAGATCCTCAGAAGGACACGTGACTATTTTTAAAGTGAGGTGTCTGACACCAGTCCCCCCAGAGTCATGCCCTGCGTTGGGGGGACAAAAAGCCAAAAAACCCTAGGACTTGATTTATTAGAAACATTAATCGATTTTTGCCAGACTGAAATGAAGGTACAAAGTCAGCCTGTGCTGTTGTGAAATTCAAAGGAGATTCGGAAGTAAGATCGCTATTTATTGCTCCAGGTTAGACCCCAAAAAATGACTTTAAAAACCAGGGCTGGCCCCTTGAAGACCGTGGTCCTATTCGGGGCCGCTCTTGGGGGCGCCGCTGCCGGCTGGGGCGGCCAGCTGGATTCACAGTGATTCAGGTGTGCCTGCTTCTGCGCGTGGCCGTGGGGCCGGGGTGGTCGCCGCCGGGCACGCCTACACCTTGTAGTTGAGCTCAGCGTTCATCTTGGTGTACATCTCGTAGATGACGTCGATGGTGGCCGTGTAGTTGACCAGGAAGAGGCGGACCTTCTCCAGGCACTCCTCCTCCGTCACGTTCTGGCCCTTGGAGAGCGCTTTCAGGAAGTCGGACTTATACGGGGCTGCGTACAGGGCTGCCTTGAGATGGAGGAGAGGGGAGGTGGCGTGGTGTTAGCAGAGGGTGGTGGCCCGGGCCACCAGGCCAGGCATGTCAGGTGCTGGGAGGGGACACCCCCGAGGTCCGTGCTGGGCAGGGGTCTGTGCTACTCATGGTGTTGGAAGGGAAAGGCAAAGGGAGATGTGTGTGTGTTCCCTTCTACCCCCGTGAGGGACAGCAGGAAGGACACCAGCTTTGGGGACAGACAGACCTGGGTTCAAATTCCAGCTTGTGCCGCCGACTAGCTGTGGGCCTTGAGCAAGTTATTTAGCCTCTCTGAGCCTCAGTTTCCTCATCTGTAAAATGGGATAATAATGGCACCTACCCAATCGGGGTGCTTTGGTAAGGATTAAGGAAGTCACGCAAAGTGCCCCGCACAGCACCAGGCACACAGTAGGTGCTCAGCATGGACGAGCCTCCTCCCTTTGGGTTCCCTACTCTGGAGAAGATGAATAGCTTCTTCTGAAACCCACTTTCTGAGCAGAAGAGATGACTGCAAATCTGTGCTGTTCCTCTTTTGTCGTTCAGGGGGTGACACTTCCCGAAACTTCAGGGCTTCCCCAACAACTTGGACCCTCCAGGGAACCAAAAATTCACAGGATTTCAGAGCCAGAAGGAGAAGGATGCAACTGGATTAAAAACTTTGGCTCGGAAGAGTTTGAGAGGGTGAGGCAATCACAAACAGTAACATTGTCATTAAGAATCAAAATAATAACAGCTTGATTTTCTGACTATAAACCACGTGCTCTTTATACAGAGTAACTGGTTGAATCTTCACAATGATCCTGTGAGGTAGGGCCTATTTTACACCCATTTGCAAGATGTGGATACGGAGGCTCAGGGAGGCAGAATCCCAGCCCCTGATCTTCTTACTCTGTGACCTCTACCAAGATACATCCTATCTCTCTGGGCATCAGTTTCCTCATCTGTGAAATGGAAGTGAGGACAATGCCCACCTCATGGTACATTTGTGAAGATCACCCCTCATGGGCGGCCAGCCCTGGGCCAGGCACTCAGGACCCACGGTTCTTACTGAGGGAGTGGCTGCGAGGGGGCAACCCAGGATGGGTGCTGTTGCCAGCCCTGCCAGGGCAGAGCACCCAGAGGTGGCCAGATTTCCCAGTGCCTAGCAGTTCCTGCTTGGACCCAGTGGACTCCTGACCCAGCCTGCCCACGACCTGTGCGGTGTGGGACAGAGACGCCCGCAGACCCCAGTTCTCGTGGGAATGAGCATGGGCAGGTGGTGGGAGCTGCAGAGAAGGGGCGGCCACAGCAGGCTGAGTAGGTGAGGGGGCGGCAAGAGGCCGGGAGGCCAAGATAGTGCAGGGCAACCCGAGGGGCTCTCAAGGCCTCCTGTGGGGGCCTCTCCCGTAGCCAGGATGGTGCTTCCAGGAGCCATGGTTACCATCACCCCGATACAAGTCATCAAAAGCCTCCTGGGCCAGTGGGCACAGGGGCCCTTCCTCCTCTCCCCAACTGGTGCAAGGGTCCCAGATGAACCAGGGGGCCAGGGAGGCCAGCCCACCATCAGCCTGAGGTCCTCGGTCTCTGCCATGGTTTCTCCCGTGGCCTCTCAATCAGGCCTCCCAGGACGAGGCCCCTCATCAGAACCACCACTGAGCATCTAGGAAAAGGCCCGCCAGCCCACGGGGCCCCTCGGTGCACCAGCCTCACCCCAGGTGGACGGGGGAGCCCTTCCTGAGCCCGGGGTGGGGAGCAAACGCAGCAGTGGCGGGGGAGGGGCGCAGCTCCAGAGCACGGAGCAGGGGGCGGACCCCCACAGGCCGGGGCCGCCGGGGCCTCCGGGGCCTGTGCGGCGGCTCACCTGGAAGATCTTCTGCACGATCCAGCCGTGGTACTTCTTGAGGGCCATCTCGTAGGCCTTGGTGGCGTTGACGCGGATGAGGTTGGGGTGGTTCTCGTCCCGCTCGCCGTCACAGATGCTCTGCAGGAAGACCTGGATGAAGCGGAGGCCTCTGCAGCCGGAAAGGAGACGCCGCTTTAGGGCCCTGCCCGCGGCGCTCCTCCAGCCGGCCCGCCCCCGCGCGGGGACCCGGATGCTCGCTGAGTTAAGCACCTGCTGTGAGCCGGGGACGCGTGCGCACCGAAGAGGGCGGTTATTCCCCAACTGGCATGTCTACACCGGCTTCTGAGTAACGTGACCCCCTGGCTGACCTCACGTGTCCCGAGCACCCTGTCTATAGGAGGCCTGCGGCCACCCCTGCTGGGTTGTACAGTATAGGAGGACTGGGTCTGGGCCCCCCTTGCCCATTTCCATGGCCACGTGGCCTCCCACAGGCCAGCATGTGGCAGAGGGCCATCAGTGCATCAGGACTGAAGCCACAGAACTGGTCCTCCGAGGGCTCACGGAGCACAGAGCATGGACACCCTGGGAACACTGGCGAGCCTGAACCCTGGGCCCGGGTTCCCCGCCTCGACCACTGCCCAAGCCACGGTCTTCATCCTCCAGTAACCACCTGGGCCCTTCCTCCGGGGTAGGATGCTGCTTTGAAAGCCAGGAGAAAGGCATGAGTTATAGCAGGGCGACCAACTTGAAAATCAAATCAATGCCAGTGGCTTTAATCTACATCGTCTCATGAGGCTGAGCTCAGTGCCATCTGCCCACTGTATGGAGGGGAACACTAAGGTACCCCCAAAAGGCCCACTCAAAGGCTGGGATGTGAACCCAGCCTGTCTCACTCCCCAACTGGGCTCCTCTGCTCCCTTCCTGCAGGGGAGGGGACCAGGTTAGGGGTAGGGGTTTTTAGAGGCAGGAGAGCTGGGCCTGCCCCAGGACTGAAGGAATAAAGTTAAGCTCTGTCACCTATGAGGTGAAGGGAACTACTCTGTGCTTGGATCCTAACCCTCAGCCATCATGGATCAGCCTGGGGTGTGAAAGTGAGCTCAGGGCCCAATCCCAGCCCTGCCCTGGTTGGCCACCTCTCCTGAGCCTCTGCCTCTCCCAGCCCTAACGATCCCCCATCTTCTCAGAAGCTGGGATGATTGATTCCTTCTCCAGCCCCATCAGACCCTGTTGCTGGTCAGCTCCATGCCCCGCAGTGGCTCCCCAGGACCCCCGGGCAGACTGGAACTCATCTTTGTCCAAACTCACCTCATCTCTCCCTGCTCCTGCCTCGTGTCTAGAGCCATGGCTGGACCAGACCCTCCTGGAAGGGCAGATACGCCGTCCCTCCCCTGCCCTCCCACTTCTGCTAGGCCTCTTCCTCCTGGGACCTTCCTGCTCAGCCTTGGAGGCCTTGCTTTGGCGGCCCTCCTCTGGGAAGCCCTCCCCAACTTCCCTCCTCTCCAGGCTCTGATATGCTGCTGTCAGGATCTGCCCCGAGCCTGACCCCCTGCCCAGGCTGTGACACCCCAAGAGGCACCATGCCTCCCGACACAGTACCCCACACACCCAGCACCGGGCACATCACACAGCAGGTGCTTATTATGTGCTTGACCTGGTGACATCCACCTGCATCTGCCCTCCCAGTCACCTGGCTCTGCCCACGTCTGATCTGGACACAAATAATCTAACTGATCTGAATGTCCCTACCTACCTTGCTCTTCCCAAGAAACCTACAGAACCTGCCACTGGATGGACTGGGGGCATTCCTCATTCCAGGTCCGTGAGTGCCGTGTTGAGAGGCAGCTCAGTGGGGGCGAGTCGTAAAAGAGGCCGTAAGGGTGTTAATTACAGCACACCTACCCCGGGATGCCCACACAGGCCCCACCCTCCAGGGAGCAGACTTCCTGTTCTGTTTCACCAAAGACGTGCAGGGTGGGAGGGGGGCTAGCTTCAGGGGATGCAGAGAGAGGGGAAGAACGCCCTTCCTGACTCCAGGCCCCAGAGAAAGGGCAACACTGGGAACATACATGGGGCAGAGAATGGGTCCCTGGCTTCAGAGCTGCTGCTGGGTTCTGTGGTGTTTGCACAGCTAAAGGAGAATTCTGGAGCCTGCAGAGAGCAGCGTGTGAGCCCAGCAAGCAAGCTGCCTGGCCTCTCTGAGCCTCAGTGGCTTCATCTGTAAGATGGGAACAACTGCATGTGGCTTCAAGTTTGCTTGGACAGTAGGTATCCTGGTTACAAGCACTGTCAACCCTGGGGTCAGACTGTCTGGGGTCAAATCCCGTATCAAGGTACCCTGCCCCCAGCCCACAGGATGAATTTGTGCAAATTAGATAGGGTCCTTTCTCCTCCAGATGCTGTATTTCTGTCAAGAAGCTGTCATACTACCCAAATCTACCACGTGTGTGATGTGACTAGCACTAGACAGGACATCTTTGTGCAGTGCACACTCTGCACAACTGTGCTCGGCCACTCAGTCCCAGCTCTGCGCCTGCACCCTGGGCACAGGATTTGGCCTCTGGTAGCCCCGGGGCCTCCTCTGGGAGATGGGGATAATCATCACACCTAACTCACCATGCATGAAATGCGATCTGGGATCTAAAGAGCTTGCACAATGGCCAGAGTGTGCGCTACTATGCTATGCCCCTGATGGGGCTAGAACAGGCCAGGAAGTGTCACCATCAGGCAAGTCTTGGCCCTGGGGGTGCTTTCTTGGTCACTAACTAGCGTCACATGAGAAGAATGCCTATGTGAAAGAATGGAAGTGACCATCCTGTGCCATCAGTGCAGACACCGTGGGGCAGCAGCAGGGTGTGACATCTCTCCTCCACGGGGCAGACCCCCAGGCCCACTAGCCACACACAGGCTGCCACCCGAGCCCATCCATCACCTCTTCAGCCACATCAGTGCCAGTGTGGCCCCTACTTTGGGCCACTCTGCTCCGTACATTTCCTTTTCCACCTCCAGGATGTTCTGCAGGGTCCGGAACTTGGCTGGGTTGGTATCATACACAGCTTTGATTTTCTGAAATGGAACATATGTGAACACATGGGCATTTATCCCTTAGGAAGGCTGTCCCCAATGACGGCCAACCTGCGTGCTGGGTAGAGGAGCGTCCCGCCAGGGCCAGGACCCGCGGTGGGGCTTGTTGTAACAATAACTACCGGACTGTCTGCATTTACTGAGCACCTCCCCTGAGTCAGGACGCTTCCTGCCAAGTGCTTCCTGGGTGCAGCCTTATCATATCCTTGTGGCACCCCTGACATTGCTTTCACTGTCCCCATTTGCAGATGAGGAAACTGAGGCTCAGAGAGGGGAAGTGACGTGCTCAAGGTCACACAGCTGGTGCAGGTGGGAGCAGGTTCCAGCACAGGCTGGGCCCAGAGTCCCTGTTCCCCATGCTATTGACAGCGCCTCGGACCCCAGGTTATCTGAAGTTTCACTTTTGTGGACAAATGAAAACAGGTTCCTGGAGCAGGGTGGGTATAGCTCAAGGGTAGAGCACATGCTTAGCACACATGAGTTCCTGGGTTCAATCCCCAGTACCTCCATTAAAATAAATAAGTAAACCTAATTACCTCCCCCCAAAACAAAAACAACAAATAAATAAATAATATATATGTATTTTTTTGAAAGGTTCCTGGGATTCAAAGATGTCCCGGAACAAGGCTCCTGAATTGGAGCCAGGCTGTTTGGATTTGAATCCCACCACTGACAATTCTTTGCTGTGAGTCCTTCAACATCTCTGAGCCTCAGCTCCCTCATCTGTAAAATGGGGATAACACAGAACCAGCCTCACAGTGGATCCTGTTTCAGGGGACAGTACATCACAGGTACTGGGGCTGCTGGGCCAAGTACGTACTGTGATGTTGCCACTTATGTCCGCCTTGATGGGAGTAAACACTGGAGAGCCGAGGCAATCTGGGGACAAAACAAGAACAGAAATTTAGATTCTCAACAAGGATGATATTCAGGACCTCCATGCGTCATGGAGGCCTGGGGACAGGAGTGGGGGGGTCATTTCGTGTGTTTAGGGAAAGGGAGAGCTGTTTGTAGGTGTCAAAAATGTTCATGGGCCAGTAAATTTGGAGTGTTAGGCTCCAGACGAGTCCAGTTTCTTACGGCAGGACTTGTCAGAGCCTTTAAAATGCAAACAGACTCTCTAGGAGGCAAACTCTTTTGTCTACAGCACCCTTTCTCTCTGGGACAGGATGTCCTGTAACTGCACCGTCTAATATGGGCCACATTTGGCTACTGAGCCCTTGAAATATGCTGAGTGTGAGCGAGGAACTGAGTTTGTAATTTTATGTAACTTTTATTTATTTAAATTTAAATAGCCACAAGCAGCTGGTGGCTACCATATTGGACAGCACAGCCGTATCTTGCAGGACTAATGTTCTGAGAAACCATCTTGGTCAACATGGCAGACGGCCATCAATGAACCAGCTGGCTTGGAGGCAGATCGAGGAACTTCACAAGGTGGGAGAAGAGGGAGATTTATGAAATATGACCTTCTTGCTCACCATCTTATAAGGAAGAAGGGAGCTGGTGGCTGGGAGGTGTCATGGTTCTGAGACTCTACTTAAGAGCCCAGGAGAACCCACCAGCAGGGGGACGTAACAGAGCATGAGGAACAGGGGCTCCACACAAAGACGTCCCAAACCCACAGCAGGGAGATGCCAGCACCAGCTTCCCCTTGTCCGCAGGCCAGGCAGGGGCCTCGGAACACGTGCCAACTGACCTCACCAGAGCAGAGGGCTGGGGGAGGGACACCTGCGGACTGAATTCCACCCAAGGTGACCCAAGCACACCTGGCCAGCCATGTGGAACATTCTAATCATAGCTGTTAAAAGAGGGTGCATTGGGGAAACAGCATTAGACATAATAAATGAAACAGCCCATAACCCAATGGAAAGGTAGGGTAGAAATCCAGACAGACTGGGTTTGAATCTAGGCAAGCAAGTCTCCTGACCTCTGCGTGCCTCAGTTTCCTCACATGTCAAATAGGGCAGTCATGGTACTTATTTCATAGGTTGTTGTAGGGATTAAAAATCACGGACTTGGCGGGGAGGGTAACAGCTCAGTGTCAGAGCACAGGCTTAGCATGCGTGAGGTCCTGGGTTCAATCCCCACTACCTCCATTAAAAACAAAAAACAAAAAAATGCCCCCAAAACCATGCACTGAACGCACTTAGCTCAGCACATGAACCCTCAGGAAATGAACTCTGATCATCTTTATTAAAAATAAATCTTTTTATTACATTTTGTGGGGGAGGTAATTATGCTTATTTATTTATTTAATGGAGGTACTGGGGATTGAACCCAGGACCTCGTCCATGCTAAGCACGCACTCTACCACTGAGCTATACCTGCCCCTTGAGCATCTTTATGACTTTGTATCATGACTAGGGCCAGGCTCCATGGTCTAGCATGGTCTAGCAGGCTTGGAAGCTGCCAGGCCCTCTGGGACCTCCTCTGGGCAGGAACCCTGGGCCTGCGCCCCCTGTCACTTGGACTCCCTGCCTCGCCCTGCTGCAGGCTCCTGGGCACAGAATCCACAGGCTGAGTGGTCAGCCCCCTCCTCTCAGCTACTGGACCTCTCCCCAACGGGCTAGGCTGGAGCCTCCCCTAGGGTGGCCACAGGAGCTGCTCCGAGGTGCTGGGTGGAAGGGCAGGCAGCCTGTAACACCTAACCATGGGTGCCCTGGCCTCCCGGATGGGCCTGCCAAGTGCATAAATGATGTAACGACTCCACCCATCCTTTAATCTTCCATGATGTATCACTGACTTCATCTTGCAAGACCAACCTGGGGAGGGTGTGCAATTTGCTAGCCCTGGGACGGGTTCTCTCCCGAGACACTAACTACTGGCTCCCCCAAAGGACAACATATTCTAGAATTAAATAATGATGTAAGAAAGCCAAGATTTCCCACCACTAGTGATTCTTCCCCTCTTGACTGTGCAGTCAGGGGTCACCAATTCCGACACTCACAGGGACCAGGCAGGTGCCATGGACAGGCTGTGTGCAGATGGGCAAAACCCTTCCAAGGGGACAGCCACTCCGTGGCTCCAGCTGATGGCTTCATGTCCTCATTGTTCAAAAAAATGTATGCTGTCCAAAGACACAGAGCAGACTGATGGATGGATCGACAGGTACAGTCAAATACTGACGGGAGAATCTAGGTGGCAGGTATATGAATAATCACTGTAAAATTCTTCCAGTTTTGCTGTATGCTTGAAATTCTTCATATAAAATATTGGGGAAAAATCCAGGGTTTTCTTTTCCCTTATCAGAAAAAGTCGCACTTCTTTCTACTTTTTCTCCAAGTCCACGGCAATGCTACCACAATTACACGTCACATGTTACACGCATAACCCTCTGTTTTCCGCCTGTCTCCCCTGCGGACTTGAGCTCTGAGAGGGCAGAGACCAGGTGGCCTCGGTCCCCCTGCTGTGCCTGCAGCGCCTGGCGTGGAGCTGGACCCCAGCAGGTGCCTGGGCTTCTGCAGCATGCACGAGGGAGCGGATCGTGGGGATGGTGAATCTGCAAGCACACCTCCTGCCAGGCTCTTTTTCTAGTCATTTTCTTGCAAGGGTCTGAGGACCTGGAGGACTAAGACAGCAGACACTGCAGGAAGGGGCGTTGCCTCAGTTTCCCCATCTGTAAAGGAAGAACACTAGGAGGAACCCCCACCCTGTAGGGTGGCTGTGATGGGGAGAGGTGCCATCTGTGCACAGGGAGGGCTCAGAGCCTGGCCGTGATTTCCTTACTGCCACGGGCTGACGTTTAAGTAAATGCGCCAGTGACGGGGATGAGGAACCAAGCCCCAGGGACAGATCATCGCCAACCACTAGCTTTTCCCAGTAACTCAGGTCACTCGATGTGCATTTTAGAGACACAGAGAATGTAATTCGGCCTCCCTGGCCCTGAAAATGGCTCTCCTGCCGTTCTGAGCAGCCGCCGGGCGGCGGGGAGAACGGCTTTTTGTTTTGGGTTCTCCTGAAGGTGACCGTGGTCAGCGGGAGCTG